TGACCCTGTGGCCTAGAAGAACAATATCTATGAGGGAATGTTCTATGAACGCAGAATGGGAAAACTCCAGATGGCAAATACTGTAGATTTTAATACCATCCATGTAGAGAATTCATCCTGTGAACCAGACAGTGCAGGAGGACGGGAGTTTCTGGAGAGCTCTGGATCCAAGCAGGTGGGCAGAGCAGGGAAAGACATTTTGGTGGTAAAGTTGACAGTGGCTTTGGCTTAAGGAGGAATGGGCAGGAATTTTGTTTCAGGCACAGGGCAGAGGGAGCGAAGAATCACGGATGAGAACACACCAGGTGTGTGTTAGAAACAGGGAGAGCTGGACTGGGCTGAAGGGATGGGTAGATGAAACCAGGCCGGAAAGGGGGAGCACAGCCCTGGGCAAGGGGGGAGGAAGTGGGGCAGGAGTGGGGGGCATCACTGGTGTGGTGGCTGACAGCACAACTCCCTATTGCCCTCATTCTTTCCCAGCTCCTCAAGCTGGGCACTGGCCTCCTGGAAAGTGGGCGCCATTACCTTGCTGCCAGCCGTGCCTTCATTGTTGGCATTTGTGATCTGGCCCGCCTGGGTCCACCAGAGCCCATGATGGCGGTATGTGGAAGGTCTGAACCAGGGTGGGATGGGGTCTGGGGTTAGGAGATGCTGCGGAAGAGCAGGGCTGGCCTGGGGTCTGCAGGTCCCTGGTCAGAGCAGGGCTGGGGCTGCTATCCAAGACAGCCAAAGCAGGCTGGGTCTAGAGCTGGGAGGCTCCTACCCACTTCACCCCACCCCACCCCCGCCCATGCTTGGTGCTCTGTTTCTCTTCTTGCCTAGGAGTGTCTGGATAAATTCACTGTGAGCCTGAACCACAAGCTGAACAGCCACGCGGTGAGTGGGGGAAAGTAGGACTGGGCGGTTGGAGGGGGCAGGAGGCAAGGTTGTCTGCTGTCCTGACCCCCACTTGCCAATTTCTGCTTTCCCCAGGAGTTTCTAGATGCCACCCAACACACACTGCAGCAGCAAATCCAGACGCTGGTCAAAGAGTGAGATGGAAGGGAGGGGCCTTATTTCCCAGAAACCAGCCCTTCTGCCCTCTTCCCATTACCACAGGGCCTCCCCAAATGAAGGAGTTATGAGATTAGGGGTTTTTGGTTGCCTGACTTCTATCCCTCCATCCCAAGGATCCCCTTGGATCGGTGGGCCTTCTCCTGGGAATTCTCTGTTGGGGGCAGGTGGAGTGATCCGTGATCCTGTGTTATCTCCCCACCCCCAGAGGTCTCCGGGGTTTCCGAGAGGCTCGCCGGGATTTCTGGCGGGGGGCTGAGAGCCTGGAGGCTGCTCTTACCCACAACGCAGAGGTCCCCAGGCGCCGGGCTCAGGAGGCAGAAGAGGCAGGAGCTGCTTTGAGGGCTGCTCGAGCTGGGTACCGGGGACGGGCATTGGATTATGCGCTTCAGGTGCCTGTCCCACTCTGTCCTCCTGGGGCACCATAGCCTCAGGTGTCACCTTGAGGCTGGGGAGTCCCTGGTGTGCAATGGGAGGGAGTGCTGTGTTTTCAAGACTGACCTAAGGTCTTTTTGGGCCCTCAGATCAATGTGATTGAGGACAAGAGGAAGTTTGACATCATGGAGTTTGTGAGTTGTGGTGGGCGAGGGTTAGGTGGAAAGGAGCCTGCTGACAGAGAACAGAAAGGAAGACAGCGAGAGGGGTCCTTCCTGAGCTCTGCCCCTTGCCTGCCTTGTCCCCCAGGTGCTGCGTTTGGTGGAAGCCCAGGCTACCCATTTCCAGCAGGGCCACGAGGAGCTGAGCCGGCTGGCCCAGTATCGCAAGGAGTTGGGTGCCCAGGTAGGGCTCCAGGGGACAGGCAGACGGTGGAGGGGCGTTAGGGGATTCTGAGATGTCCCTCCTATGCCCAGTTGCACCAGCTGGTCTTGAATTCAGCACGAGAGAAGAGGGACATGGAGCAGAGACATGTGCTGCTGAAACAGAAGGTGAGGTCTGGGACTGTGGGCAGGAGGCAGACAGGCCTGTGGCTTTGGTCTCTGCCCACCTTAATCGCCCTTTGACCCTCTCATGCTCCCAGGAGCTGGGTGGGGAGGAGCCAGAGCCGAGCCTGAGGGAGGGGCCTGGTGGCCTAGTCATGGAAGGACATCTCTTCAAACGGGCCAGCAACGCATTTAAGACCTGGAGCAGGTGAGGAGAAGACACCCCAATCAACCAAACCTTCCCCACTAAATATTTTTGAGTGGTTAGAGTGTGCTAAACACAGCAAGGAAAAACAGACAACTCCCTCTGCCTTTGTAGAGTTTATATTCCCTCAGCAAAGACAGATAATGGGCAAAATAACTAATTATGTGTTATCTTAGGAGGTAGTAATATTATAGGAGAAAAATAATAAAGCAAGAGATGTGGAGAGCTGAGTAGGGATTGCAATTTTATTTTATTTTTTAATTTTTTAAAAAAGATGACCGGTAAGGGGATCTTAACCCTTGACCTGGTGTTGTCAGCACCACACTCTCCCAAGTGAGCCACGGGCCAGCCTGGGATTGCAATTTTATTTTATTTTTTAATTTTTTAAAAAAGATGACCGGTAAGGGGATCTTAACCCTTGACCTGGTGTTGTCAGCACCACACTCTCCCAAGTGAGCCACGGGCCAGCCTGGGATTGCAATTTTAAATAGTGGGTCAGGGGGCTGGCCATAAGCTCACTTGGTTAGAGCATAGTGCTGATAACACTAAGGTCAAGGGTTTGGATTCCCATACCAGCCAGCTGCCAAAAAAAAAAAGAAATTTTTAAAAAAATAAAAATAAATAAGTAAATAGTGGGTCAGGGTATACCTTATGAGAAGGCAACTTCTGAGCAGGCTTGAAAGATATCTGGGGGAAGAATGTTCTAGGCAGGAGGAAGAGCCAGCACCAAGGCCCTTAGATACCTGGGGTGTCTGAAGAACAGAGGGGAACCATGCATGTGGGTGGAGTGAGGGAGGAGGAAGTAGTAGATGAAGTTGGAACTCATGGGGGTGTGAATAATTACAAGGCCTTGGAGACTTTTTGTAGGGACTTGGGATCTACTCTGAGGGAAATGAGGAGCCACCACAGGGTCAGCAGCAGGATGATGACATGCTCTGACTTGACTCTTAGCCTTTCAAGGGCACTGTTAGCCCATATGGGATCTTTGTGCAAATTAGAAAATAGTCAGTTAGAGCTCAGCCATGTAACACCAAGGTCACAGGTTCAGATCACTGTACCAGCCAGCCACACACACAAAAAAAGAAAATGGAGCCCCTTCCCCAAGATACTTTTACTTGTCAAAAATTATAGGAAGCTGGCCAGTTAGCTCAGTTGGTTAGAGCATGGTGTTGTAACACCAAGATCAAGGGTTCAGATCCCCATAGTGGCCAGCTGCCAAATAAAAAATAAATAGAAACGGGCCAATTTTTTTTAAAAAAGGGCTGGCCAGTTAGCTCAGTTGGTTAGAGCATGGTGCTGATAACCCCAAGGTCCAGGGTATGATCCCTGTACTGGCCAGCAGCTATGATAGCAATAGACTTACTTTATTAGGAAAAGCATTTTACTGCCATCTGCTGGAAACTTGTCTTCATAAATATATCAAATCTTGGTTGTCTAAGATGTGACTAGCACCCCTTAGATGTTCCAGTCTGTCAATCTGTACAACAGTCCACCCTTCTCTGGAATGTTTCATGGGATGGTCAGCCCAGGTCTCTCTCCTCTCAACCAGATCCTATGGGGCAAAAGTCACACCCTCCCTTTGTCCCTGTCCTGAGCCTCATCTTGAGCCCATGCCGCCCATAACTATTTCCATTCTTGCAGACGCTGGTTCACCATTCAGAGCAACCAACTGGTTTATCAGAAGAAGTACAAGGTGGGTAGGCCCAGGTCCTGGATGTCTGGGCCCCAGGAACACTCAGCCCTTGCCTGTGGCTGGCTGGATGGCTACCCCCTTATCACCTCCTCCTGCCAGGACCCTGTGACTGTGGTGGTGGACGACCTTCGTCTCTGCACAGTGAAGCTCTGTCCTGACTTGGAAAGGCGGTTCTGCTTTGAGGTGGTGTCCACCAGCAAGTGAGTGCAATCCCCAGGGGTGATACTCTAATATCTCTAAATATTTACCAAATAGAAAGGCAGGGCCAGTCACAATGGAGGACCCGCATGCAGCTCCAGGCCTTAACCTTTTGGTGGCTGGATTGGGGGAGCAACCTGGGGGGAGGGTACATGGTCATGGGGGATATTTAGGAGGCTATTGCGAGTTGGTACAGAAGTATTTCAATACGACTGGAACCAGTGGAACACTGGCTGAATGTCAGCCTGTCAACTTGCCATGCTGCTTCCCAGGCCTCAGACCCCACCCCCATCTCCCCACCCCTCCTGCCCAGGTCCTGCCTCCTCCAGGCTGACTCAGAGCGCCTCCTGCAGCTGTGGGTCAGTGCTGTGCAGAGCAGTATCGCCTCTGCCTTCAGCCAAGCTCGCCTTGATGACAGCCCCCGGGGGCCAGGCCAGGTACTTTAACATGCGGATGTAGGGCCAGGCTGCCTTGCGAGATGGGTACCCCTTACCCTAGGTCCTCTGGCCACCCTTTCTTCCTCTGTCTCCCCCAGGTCTCAGGACACCTGGCCATAGGCTCTGCTGCCACCCTGGGCTGTGGTGGGATGGCCAGGGGAAGGGAGCCTGGGGGAGTTGGGCATGTGGCCGCCCAACTGCAGAGTGTGGATGGCAATGCTCAGTGCTGCGACTGCCGGGAGCCAGCTCCGGAGTGGGCCAGCATCAACCTTGGTGTTACCCTATGCATTCAGTGCTCCGGCATCCACAGGTCACTCCCCAAGGCCCCAAGCATGGGCCCTGCTCCTTCAGGCTGCAGTGCAGCCCCCAAGATAGAGCCCACCACAGGCCTCTCTCCTCCTGCCCTGCCCTGGCTTCCTCTCCTAGATTCTGGCTCTGTCACTGGGAACCAGGCTTGGGCTGAGCCTCTGGGGCACAAGGTAGTCTGGTCAGGGTTGGGAGACACAGAAGAGTTTATTGGCTTGATTGGAGGAAGTGTGGGGTCAGGACTGCTGGGAGGGCAGGGGCAGGTAATGAAGACCAAAGAGAGGAGAGGCTGTGGGGCCTTAGTAAGTCTATAAGGCTCTCACCCTCAGTCAGTCAGGTGGAAAGAGGGAAAGGGATGACATGGGAAGAGTGATCCAGGCCAAAGTGTCATGAGAGAAGGGAGGTGGCTAGAGAGGATGAGGGCCTCCAAATGAAACACAGAAAGGGAGAAGGAACGGTGAGCAGGCAGGATCCGGCCAGAACAGGTAAAGGCTCCATGGCCCCAGCTGCCCAGCCTCCTTGCCCAACTCCTCAGCATGAGCCTCTCCAGACCACTGCCCCACAGAGGGCCTGACTCTTCCTCTGGCCCCCCAGGAGCCTTGGTGTTCATTTCTCCAAAGTCCGGTCTCTGACCCTTGACTCGTGGGAGCCGGAACTAGTGAAGGTAAGTTGGCATATTGTGAAGACTGGGGGTGAGGACAAAGCATTGAAGAACCCTGAGGGCTCAGACACTCACCCGCTACCCTACCTGTCTGTCTCTGCCTCTGCCTGGGCCTCCCGAAGCTTATGTGCGAGCTTGGAAATGTCGTCATCAACCGGATCTATGAAGCCCGTGTGGAGGCCATGGCGGTGAAGAAGCCAGGGCCCAGCTGCTCCCGGTGAGGTTGGGGTGGAGGTGCCTGGGCTCCCCTCCCTGGGGGGACAGGTAGGGGCACCTGGGATGGGAAGAGAGAAAATTGTTCCCTTCTCCCCCTTCCCCAGACAGGAGAAGGAGGCCTGGATTCATGCCAAATACGTGGAGAAGAAGTTCTTGACCAAACTTCCTGAGATTCGAGGGCGAAGAGGTGGCCGGGGGCCCCCAAGGGGGCAGCCTCCTGTGCCCCCAAAGCCTTCCATCAGGCCCCAGCCAGGGAGCTACAAATCCAAGCCAGGTATAGGGTTGGTTGGGCATTCACTGAGTGTGGGCTGTGTGCTCAGCACTGTGCCCGGCCCCACAGGGAGGCAGAGTATGAGGCCCAGGCCTTCGCCTTGAGAACGTTGGAGGGACCAGACTACAGTTTCAAGGGATTACAGTGGTGTGGGGCACTAAGAATGGGGAGGAGCCTGGGGCTGGGAGTAGGCAGGGAGGGCTACATAAGGGGTGTCACAGCATGAGAAAAGGCAGGAGTGGGAATGAGCCTGGGATCTCCAAAGGCCTAAGAAGGGTGTGAGTTTGGCTGGAGCAGAGAGAGTCGAAAGCTGAGGCTGAGTGTCAGGGACAGTCAGCTCACCTGTAACATCCAGCCAGTCAGGTTGGTTGGACAGGATGAGGTCAATGATGCAGTCTATCCCCTACACCCATGGGCCCTACATACTTACATCCATTTACACATACCCACGCCCACATCACTCCATCTCCCACCACAGTCCCAAGTCACAAAGGCTTCCCCCAAATTTAGAAGTGACCTTTCCCATTACAGTATCAGGGGACTGTGTTGAGGGTTTTCTTCCCGACTCAGAGCTGATTCCCACTAACAGAAATAAATCCCCCTAACAGAGCCCCCCTCTGATGACCTGGGAAGCCTGCACCCTGGTGCCCTGCTGTTTCGAGCCGCTGGGCATCCTCCATCCCTTCCCACCATGGCAGATGCTCTTGCACATGGGGCTGATGTCAACTGGGTCAATGGGAGTCAGGAGAATGCCACACCGCTGATTCAGGCCACAGCTGCTGTGAGAGCCTTGCCAACTTCCCCACCCCACCCTAAGGCTCCCCCTCTCTATCTCCTACTTCTGAATTTGGGCCCAGCCCTTAACTCCTCCTCCCCCACATCTGCTCCCTGGGACACCCCTACTCTGTAGGAAGCAATATAAACTGGTTTCTAAGAGCGTGTGATTTGGAGGCAGAGAACTTATTTGAATCCAGGTTCTCAACACTTACAGAAGACTGAACGAATTAACCTGTCTGTGCCCCAATCTCCTCATCTGTAAAATAGGGATAACATACCTCATAAGGTTGTACTATGGATTTAACATATGAATGCACGTGAAGAGCTAGAACCAAGCCTGACACTTATCTGTACTGTCCCCCACACTCCCGATTACCATATCCCACCCTCTGAACTGACCCCCACCCTAAAACATCTTGAAATCCACCTCCCAAGATGCCATCCTCAATCCTCCTTCTCTACTTCTCCATGCAGAATTCTCTTCTGGCCTGTGAGTTTCTCCTCCAGAACGGAGCGAATGTGAACCAAGCGGACAGTGCAGGCCGGGGCCCTCTCCACCATGCAACCATTCTTGGCCACACCGGGTAGGGGCGGCAGGGTTGATGGCCATGGGGAGGAAGGCTCCGGAGTGGGGGGCAGCTGAACCTGTCTGTCCTCTCCAGGCTTGCCTGCCTCTTCCTGAAACGGGGGGCTGATCTTGGGGCTCGGGACTCTGAAGGCAGGGACCCTCTGACCATCGCCATGGAAACAGCCAACGCTGACATCGTCACGCTGTGAGAATGCCTGAAGGGGCGGGGCTAGTGCTTGGACCATCTATTCTGGGCGGGACTGACGCAGAGACAGGAGCCAGGGAGGGGCAAGGGCCAGCGCCTGGACCCCGGCGAGAGAAAGGATGCTCTAAGTGTGGATCGGGTCATGGAATAGGAAGGTAGGGTCCGAGGATGGCGAGTTCATCCTGAGGGGCGTCATTCCTGCATCAGCATTGCTGTCAGGCGTCTTTTAAGCACTAGACCCTGGAAGGCAGAAGAATGAAACAACCCAGTTCAAAGGGTGTGAAGTCGGGGAGGGGGAGCGAGGAGAATGTCATTCATGTCAATTCCCTCCCCTTCAGGCTGCGATTGGCAAAGATGAGGGAGGCTGAAGCGGCTCAGGGCCAGGCAGGTAAAGTATCCACCCACCCACCCCTCAGGCCCAACACTTAAACTCTGGCCCCTGGTACCTGTCCCCCTCGTGCCCAACTGCATTAATTCCATTATTTATTCAACAACTATGTATTGGGCGCATCCGACGTGCCAGGCCCTGGGAACAGAGCAAGGAACAGGCGAGGGCGAGGCGCTCAACCCTCGCTCTGAGCGCGGGCTGTCACCGGCTGGCCCGGCCGCCGAATCGCGCTCTTCCGCGATAGGGCCCAGCCGCGGCCTCCGCAGCCCTTCCTTCCTCCCCCTCAGGAGATGAGACGTATCTCGACATCTTCCGCGACTTCTCCCTCATGGCGTCAGACGACCCGGAAAAGCTGAGCCGCCGCAGTCACGACCTCCACACGCTTTGATCCCCGGCCTTTGGGGCCCGCCCCCGAACCCTCCCCTGCCCACCGCTGGCTCCTTCGCCATTAAAGTTTCTGTGCTTTGCCCTCCCCTCGTAGTTCATTTACTGGGCGCCACCTTCGGGCCCGGCAGGGTGTTGGGCGCTGCGGCTCCCGGGACGCGGGGAGCGGTTGGGAGTCCGAGTCACACAAGAGGCGACTCCCAAGAGAGTGAGGTGGCAGCTTCGGCCTCAGCCCTAGCGCCCTAGCGGCTGTGGGGCGGGGCTCTCGGGCTCAGGCGACGTGGCCAGACCCGTCCCGCCGGAGAGAGGCCGCCCGCGTGGGGCGGGAGCCGGCCTTCCTTTAGGGGGAGCTGGCACCGCGCCGTGATGGAGAGAGCTCGCTCGGGCGCCCCCGGCCCGGAGGCATCCCCGGAATGCGGCGGCTCAGCACCCGCCCCCTCGGGAACTCCCCACGGCGCCACTGGGAGGGAACCGGCCCCCCGGCTCGGGACCGCAGGGGCTCGTTGAGGGGAGGGATTGGAGACTCAGGCCCCAGACGAGCGGCAGACGTGAGGTCGGACACACCTGGGGGGCGGCGGGGCTGTCGCGGCCACATCCGGGGCGACGCGCCTGAGTCACCCCACCTCCGCCGGCCCAGCCAGTCTGCCCTGTCTCTCGCGTTCGCGACGCTACGCTCGGCTCCCACCTCCGCCGGAGCCGCGGGAACCCTGCGGGGGCGGGGCGCCAGGGGGCGGGGCTGTCTCTTAAAGGGCCCCCGGCCGCTGCCCTGAGGCCACTTCCTGGGGGCGGAGAGGACCTCAGCGGCTGCGGCGACACCCGGGGAAGGCGGCGGCGCCCGGGTCCCGAGACTCCCGGCTGCTTCCATTAGAGCCCTTGCACTCTCACAGCTTGGACTGAGCGTGCATCATCGCCCCCCCTGCCGATACAGGGCAGCTCCGCCATCGACTCCGGCCAACTCTGGGACCCGCGCCTGGAGCCGAGCCAGGCCAGGCCTCTGACTGGCCCCTGGAGCCCTGCGTGGACTCGCCCACGGCGACAGCTATTTGTCCGGGGACTCGGAATCCAGGCCCTTCAAAGAGTCGGCCCTGTGCTCGCCACCGTCACCTGCTGGTTGAATTTCGGAAATCCACTGTCTGAAGACTACGGGAAGGAATCACTGACCGAAAGCTCCCTTCTCCTCTCTGGCTGCCTTCTGCTCTTTTCATCTATTCCCTCAACTTTCAGGGATTTCTGTGCCCCGAAGCCAGCCACCACCACCACCACCACCACCACCGCCATCGAGGTAGCTGGGGTGAGCCCCAAACCTTGCTGCCTTGCACTCCAACTTGTGCCTCCAGCCGGGAGAGTTTGAACCCTACGACCCAACTCTGCACACACCCAGGAAGTTCTGCCTTTTCTTCTCTTTCGGTGTCTCCTGTACTCACCAAAATTTCCCCTCCTCCTGTGTCCTCTTCGCCCCCCTCTTTTGGGGGCCCTGTGACCCTGAATGTGGGGGGAACACTATATTCCACCACGTTGGAGACCCTGACCCGCTTCCCAGACTCCATGCTGGGGGCCATGTTTAGGGCCGGCACCCCCATGCCCCCCAACCTCAACCCCCAAGGAGGTGGCCACTACTTCATCGATCGTGATGGCAAGGCCTTCCGGCACATCCTCAATTTCCTGCGGCTGGGCCGCCTGGACCTGCCCAGTGGGTATGGAGAGACAGCACTTCTCAGAGCAGAGGCTGACTTCTACCAGATCCAGCCCCTCCTGGATGCCCTGCGGGAGCTGGAGGCCTCTCGGGGGACCCCTGCACCCACAGCTGCCCTGCTACATGCAGATGTAGATGTCAGTCCCCGCCTGGTGCACTTCTCTGCTCGCCAGGGCCCACACCACTATGAGCTAAGCTCTGTCCACGTGGACACCTACCGAGCCAATCTATTCTGCACCGACCCTGAGTGTCTGGATGCCTTACGTGCCCGATTTGGTGTGGCTAATGGGGACAAGGCAGAGGGGAGCCCACATTTCCATCTGGAGTGGGCCCCCCGCCCTGCGGAACTCCCTGACGTGGAGTATGGGAGACTGGGGCTGCAGCCACTGTGGACTGGAGGGCCAGGAGAGCGGAGGGAGGTGGTGAGCACACCGAGCTTCCTGGAGGAGGTGCTGCGGGTGGCTCTGGAGCACGGCTTCCGCCTAGACTCCGTCTTCCCTGACCCTGAAGACCTGCTCAACTCCAGATCTCTGCGCTTTGTCCGGCACTGAGGATGCTGCCCTCATTTTAATTGTGGGGAGGAGAGGGAATGGGATAGCTAAAGGGGTAAAGCTTCCCTTGAAGCCTCTTTCTAGCTCTGCCGCAGGAGCTGTGAGAGTCAGGGGTTCCACTGTGCCTGACTGGAGCCCAGAGGTGGGCAAGAATTCCTAAACCTGAGCACACGGAGGGATAATAAGTGCTCCAGAGGGTCTGGATGGGTGTTGATCCTGGGAGGGACAGGAAAGGTTCTCTTGGCTTGTTCTCACCTGAGGCTAGGGACCTCCAGTGTCTCCTTGGTTGGAGATCAGTATTCAAGGGTCTGAAATATGGGGAACACCTCTTTGCCCAGGGTAGGCCTAGCAGAACTCTGGAGGGCCTCTGAGGTCTGGGGGAAAGGGGAGACTTTGAATTGCTCTAACATGGTCTCCCAGACCGTGCTGCTCCTCCTGGAGCTGGGTGGCTTGGCTTGGTCCGACCAATGAGAGGCAAGAACACTCTGGAACATGGGAAGAGGTGTCCCAAGCCACCTATTGAGGGAGACAGAAAGGCCACACCCCTCCCTAGTTTGGCATAAGGGAGCTAGGAGAATCCCCATTAGCAATGGGGCTGGAGCAACCCTTTGGAATTCCAAGTGTTTTAAAGGATCTCGTATTGATGATGGAGCTGGTCATGGGGGGGAGTGTGGTATCTTTCTTTGTCCTGGCCTTATTTCCTTCATGTGTGTGTGCACATCAGCTAGTGTGTCTGAGTGACATATGGATACCTGGCATCTTGATTTCCACCGGTGTTGCTGGCTACGTGTCTGTGTGCTGGTCTTTCTGTGATCTCTGCATGTCCAGGCCTGTTTGGGGTTGCCCAGCAAACTTCTGGCATGGGGTGTGTCTGTGGTATGTGTGTGAGGTGATTGGGAATTAGTAGCTTAGTCAAAGGTGTGGTGTGTGTGTGTGTGTGTGTGTGTGTGTGTATTTATGTGCACACATCACTATGTAGGCAGGCGGGGCCTGTTGGGGTTTGAGTCACTAGGATCTTCCTGGTGAGAGGTTAAGAGAAGTCACTGGGCTTAGCTGGGCCTCTGAAGCCTGTCTGGAACTCTCTGTTGCTGAGGCAACCATGGGTCTGTTGCTAGGAGATAGCTGGGGAAGGCCCAAGGCTGTGCAGGGCAGAGAGGAGATGAAGAGTTTCGGAGAATGGGGGAGGATATGCGAAGGGATGGGATTTCTGGGTCCCTGAAGAGATGGGATACTCATGTACCTCTTCACTGGGGGAATCACTCATTATTTATCTCTGGTCATGATTTACAAGAAAAATAAAATTGCTTTTGGAACCACAAACTTGTAAAGGCTGCTGAGGGCCAGGTTGGGGGGCGCTATCCTCCTTGCAACAGAAGCCTTGCTTTCTCTGTGCATCTCCTACTAGAGATGTCTTCTGGTCCCCTGTTTCTTGGGCCCCAGCTTTATCCCAGCCAAGGATGGAGCAATGGCACTGTTCTGGAACATTCTAGAACCTCCAGACAAAGGGCTGGAACCTATGGTCACAGAGCCTTTCAAGACCTTCCCAGCCCAGGTGGGGCCAGCTTCCACCGCACCCCTCAGTGAGCCTGATGTGGATTCTGGCACTAGGTGGGGTTTTCCTGGCAGCTGCCCAGGCCTGTGTCTTCTGCCGCCTCCCAGCCCACGACTTGTCAGGCCGCCTGACTCGGCTCTGCAGCCAGATGAAGGCCCAGTGGAAGGAATGTGAGGCCTCCCAGAATTTCTCAGCCTTTGCCTTAGGTAACAGCAGACATCCAGGGACCGGCCCAGCAAGTCACCCTGCTACCCCAAGGGGAGCAGCATGTGACTTCCCAGCTATGTCCTCAGCCCTTGCCTCAATCCAAAGCCCACGCTGGACACGCTTGTCTCTTCCTTTGGGAGAGCTCTGGTTCCCCGAAAGTCAGGAGAGACCCCAGAACCTTCTTCTGGGCTGGCGAGGGAATTGCTGGTCCTTGCCCGTCTCCACAGATGAGGTGTCTATGAACAAAGTCACAGAGAAGACTCACAGAGTCCTGAGGGTCATGGGTGAGGTCAAGGGGAAGGCAAGACCTAAGGGCTTGGGAGGACACCAAGGAGGGGGTAGGGAGGCAGGGAAGGGCAGAGGGCAGGTGGAGACAGGAGGGCTGATCAGGGAGGGGGTGGGGTGAGCTGGCACTGTTCAGGCCCAGGGCAATGGATCTGCTCTCTGCCTCCCCAGAGATCAAAGGGTCTCTCTCCGCTCTCCCTTCCTATTGGCAATGGCTTCAAAAGACCAAGCTCCCTGAGTCCACCAGGGAAGGTACTGATGAGGGGAGAACATCAAGGGGTGCCTAGGATCTTGGGCAATGGGGTGTGGCTGAGCGGCTCATCCACCCCCCCACCCCTTCCTTGTCTTTCCTTTCAGCTCTCTGTGCTCCCGCCTGCCGTGAGTAGAAAAGGAAAGGGGTAACAAGGATATGGGAGACATGGGCCTCCAGGGTACCAGAGAAGAGCCTGGCAGTGGGGTGGGGTGCAGGGGCGGGGGGCAGGGAAGTTGGGTACTCTGGAAGTGTGAAGGCCTGGGCTTCCCCCTCCACGGCACCGCTCCTGCTGTCTCCTGCAGGGGGCAGCACCATCCTGTACAACTGCTCCACCTGCGAGGGCACCGAGGTATCCTGCTGGCCCCGAAAACGCTGCTTCCCAGGTCCTTACTCCCCACCCTGGCCCCACCCCAGCCAGATCCCTGAGCCCTTAGGCTCCCCCAGCGTCGGTATGTGGTCCCCAGGATCATTCACTGCCTCCTGGGTTCCCAGCAGGAAGTCACGACCTTTGGGATGCCAGGATTCTGCTCCTCTCTGTCTTCGGGAATGTCCTCCTGCTGGGTGTCCTGAGCTTCCTGGTGGAGTGAGTTGGGGCATGAGGGCAGGAAACAGCCTCACCGCCTCCTATCCCGCCCAGTGATTTCCACTGCCCATGCTCCCTCTATCCCTCCCAGCCCCCCTCCCTTACTCTCCCCAGTCTACCACCTTCTGTCTTCCCTCAGGTCCCGCCACCTCCAAGCAAAAAGTGACTTGTGAAGAGGCTGACAACCTCCCAGCCCCAGCTCTAAGGAGATGTGCCCATAACTTCCACATCCCCTGGGGGTGGGGATCAGCAAACTCTTAGTCCCAGCCCCAAAGGCTCAGTCTTCTAGACCCCAAAACCTAGACGTCCCCATGATCCCAGCATCGTATGGCCTCCAGGCACCCACAGCTGGAAAGTTCCTCCCCTCCAGCACTCAACCAATCGACAGGGCAATCACCGATGCCAGGAAAATATCTACAGAAGGAAAAAATCTCCTACGCACAGCCCCACCACTCCCACACCCCCTTCTGCCTGTTCCCAGAAGCGAGGGCTGTCTCCCCCAGAAGCTACTCTGTGTTCTCCTGTGACTGATTGGGAATCCAGGAATGAGTGTTCTGGAGAACTCCCTCCCTCTGGAGTGAGACCACATCAGTCAGTCTGCTGGCATGCTACCCTTCCATTGTGTTAACACTGCGAAGCCCTCTTGGGCCTCTTTTGGGCTCGACTAAACCTGCTCTCTAATGGTGTCCTCCCCTGCCTGGCGTCTGCTTGCAACTAGGGAGGGCAGAGGAAGGACGGGAGACTCTCAGAGTGGCACAGTGATTCTCAGTTTGTACCCCAGTAGACATTTAGCAATGGAGACATTTTTTATTGTTTTGACTTGTGGCGGGGTGATGTGCTACTGGCATCCAGTGTGTAGAGACCAGAGGTGCTGCTAAACATCCTACAATACGCAGAAAAGTCCCCCACAGCAAAGAATTATCCTGTCCAAAATGTCAATAATGGGCCGGCCCGTGGCTCACTCGGGAGAGTGCGGTGCTGATAACACCAAGGTCAAGGGTTCGGATCCCCATACTCAGCCAGCAGCCAGAAAAATAAATAAATAAAAATGATTTTTGGTTTGGGTGATGGAACACAAAAAGAGAGGCCTGTTACCAACCAAAAGTCCCAGTCTAAGCACCTAGGCCTGAAAGGGATCCCAATCCTCACCTAGCTCAGTGGTTTTCAAACTGGGTGCCTGGGGACTCTGGGGCAAGGATTCTCAACCAGAATGCACACCAGAGTCATCTGAGCAGCTTTAAAACTTCCCATGCTTGGGCCCCACCTCCAGAGATTCTGAATTAAGTGGTCTCATATGGTGCCTCAGTTGATATAACGTGCAGTCAGGGTTAGAACCACTGTTCTATGGATGCCCACGTAGGCCCTGGGGATGGGGAGAGGAATTCCTATCTCTTCCATTTTAGTACCTGCCTTTTTGTTTTCCACATTCTAGCCCAATCCCTTCATTTTACACGTGAAAAAAATGAGATCCAGAGATCATACAAGACCGTACAATTTGCCCAGGTCATAAAGCTCATTCATCCATTCATTTGACACATACTTAGTGAGTGCCTACCAGGTGCCAGGCAGCACCACTGCCCAAGAAGGGAGCAGAAGCCACACCTCCTGACTGAGCAGGTGTTAGGTTCAGCAAGATGGAGAAAAGGGAGAGAGACCCGAGCCAGGTGCCATTTCAGCCAAAAAGCTTTATTCCACTAACGTGGAGGAGAGACTGAGATCAGTACCCCTGAACAAAGGATAGCAAGGGTTTATAAGCCTTTGAGGGTCTGGCAGAGTAATGGGCAACTTTGACATTAGTAGTATGCAAGGTGACACAGCCCTTATAGTCTGCTAACACCTGGTCGGTCAGGGCATAGGCTTCTAATTAGTGCCGCCACTATATCTCCACAACCGCTCCAACCCGAAGCCAGTAACCGCAGTCCACAAGACATTCCTTTGATGATAGTGGTCATGTTTACCCCGGTCATGTTTACCCCTTCCCAGGAGAGGAATTTCGCTGCTCAGTTCCAGGAGCAGAAAAGGGAAAGGGTAGGGGGAGAAGGAGGGGACAGTTGCTTAACCTGGCTGTGCTGATGTTAAGCTAGACATGAGGCCTAGTGGGCATCACAGCTCTCCTCTGGACTGTGGTAGCTGGGTGTGCCCTCCCCTGCTCCACCCTCTTCCCAGGCTTAACGTTTTGAGTCGTGCTTGTTTTCACACCCACTGTTCAGTAAGTCAACCAGTCCTGCCAATTCTTGAGAGACCTCTGTGCTATCTATTCCCTCCTGGCCCCCAGCCCACCCCAGAACCGTCTCACAGTGGATCCCAGTCTCCCAGATGTGCTATCTGACTCTGCCTGCTCCCCTCAAATCCATTTCCCCCTCAGCGGCGACACTGGTCTTCCTAAAACTCAGCACTGCTCACAACCACCTGTCCAGCATCAAATCGTGGTTAAGAATGTGGGCTTTGGAGTTGGACTGTCTGACTTAAAATCCTGGCTCTGGCTTTCCTGGGCCTTGCACAAGTTTTTTAACCTCTCTGTGCCTGTTCCTTTTCTTTTAGGCATACATTGTATTTCATTGTTTCTGTGGCTTTTTTTATTTTTTATTTTTTTAATATAATTTTTCTTTTTACTTTTTAACATCTCTGAAGCCAGAGTGTATCTTAAATTGAAGGCACGCCATGGCTTAATTGATGGTACTTTTTTCTTAGCAATACATAAAATAATGGTATATACTATAATTGATGAGATCTTAGATTCAATGAAATGCACTAGTCCTAACCTTACTAGATTGTTGCGAAGTCCAAATAAGTTCATGTAAAATGCTTGGGCCCGTGCTCAACATATAATGAGCATTAAGTTTAGCCATCGTTATCTCTTGCTTCAAGACCTTCCCTAGCTCCTCCTCACCAACAGAATGTAGACTAGTCTCTGTTTATCCTGACGTTCAAAGCTCTCCAGCAGCAGCTCCCACCTGTGTTACTGTCTTATCTGCTTCCCAGGCCAGAGCAGTCCAAACACAGATCTAACTGGAATCTCTACTTGAATTCCACGGGGCATCTCAGACATCACATGTCCAAATTCATCTTTCTCCCTGACCCCACCTCCCTCCTGTGATTTCTCTCAACCTTAATGGCAGTGCCAATTGTATCGTGGACATCCTCTTTCTTCCTTTTCCTCTCATGCCCACATACCCACTTCTCATCATTAACCAGTGATCTGTCTTTGTAATACTTCTTGGAATCTGGCCCTTATGTGTCTCTAGAACTTCCTCTCTCAGCACTGCCCACCCCAACCTACCCGCAACAACCATCACTTCTAGTTGTACTGAATCACCTGTAGTTGCCCAAACACTTTGTTTTCTCATGCCTCCTGGCCTTTTCCCAGGCTTGTTCCTATACCTGGGATGCCCTTCTCCTTTGGCTCAGATATGACTTCTTCTAAGAAGCCTTCTCTGAGCCCCTGGGGCAGAGTAGAGCATCTCACCCTAGGCATCTCTCAACTATGGCACTTGTTATATCAAGGTGGTGGTGTTTCTCCACCCACCTTCCCTCATGACCATGAACTGCCTTATAAAACTACTATCTGGGCTGGCTCATTAGCTACCTTGGTTAGAGTACCATGTTATAACACCAGGACCAAGGGTTTGGATCCCCATACCAGCCAGCCAGCAATCAATCAATCAATCAATCAATCAATCAATATCGTTTAAAAAAACCAAGACAAACAAAAAACACTGCCTAGGGTTCATTATCTTTGTTTCCATAGTGCCTGGCACATGGTAGACCCTAGAACGTGCAGCTGACAGCTCCAGCCTCGTCTCTGAACACATGTGATATACAATTCCCAGTAAGTTCTTCATGAGCATGTGGCACAGGAGGCTGGTAGAGTTTGTGTTTCTTTTCTGAGCACATAAGGCCAACCTACAGGAGGCCAGCTGGGCAGGGCTGGTTTTTCTGAGCCCTTACCAAACAAGGCAGGCTGCTGTGGGTGTGGCAGTTTTGAAAAAGGACCCCCACATTCCTTGGCATGCCTCCCATGGAGAGGTAGCATCTATGTATCCCTTCCCTGATCTGGGATCTGTGACTCACTGACCACTAGAATATGGCAGAAGTGATGCTGTGCCACTTCCTGGGCCCAGGCCATTAGAACTGGCACCTTCCATTCTCTGCCTCTTGGGATGCTCACTGTGGAGCCCAGTCACCATCTAAGAGGAGGTCCAGGCTTCAGGAAGAGTCCACATGGACAGGTCTCAGCCAAAAGCCAGCATCTACTGCCAGACATATGAGTGATAATACAGCCCCCAGCTGTGAATTCACCCCCCCAGACCTTTATTTTTCCATCTAAGGCCAAAGACATCATTGGAGCAGCGATGAACCTTCCCCATAGTGTCCTGTTGGAATTCCTGATCCACAATCTCCATGGGCATAATAAAACAGTTGTTTCTATACCACCAGGTATTACTCCTCAACAATAGATAACTGGAAGGGTGGAGCAGAAAAAGGAGCCTAGCAGTTCACATCAAATGTCCTGGGTTCATGACATGCTGGCCCTGTTGCTTCACAGCTGTGTGCACCAGGAACATCACTTCACCAGCCTGAACCTAGGTCCTCCCACCTCTAAAATAGAGTTAACGACAGCTAACATGCATAGGGACAAGGTGTCAGCCACCGTTCTAAGCATTTTATGCACTGTATTATCTATAGCCATGTAACAAATCATTCCAAAACTCAATAGCCTAAAACAATAAGCATTATCTCACAGTTTTGTGGATCAGAAATTCAGGAGCAGCTTAACTGGGTGATTCTGGCTCAAGGTCTCTCATGAGGTTGTTATTCAAGATGTCAGTCAGGGCTGCAGAAGTCTAAGGTCTGACTGGGACTCGATTATCAGCTTCCACGATGGCTCACTCACATGACTGGCAAGTTGGTGGAGGCTGTGGGCAGAAGACCTCAGTTCCTTGACTTGTGGAGCTATCTATAGGGCTGCTTAACTGTCCACATGACACGGTGGCTGGCTTCCCCAGATGGAGTGATCCAAGAGTGCGAGGCAGAAGCCATACTGTCTTTTACAGCCTAGTGGGAAGTCACATACCATCCTTTCTGCAGTGTCTCTGATTACACAGATCACCCCTATTCATTGTGGGAAAGGGCTATACAACAGTACAAATACCAGGAGGGGCATTTCATTGGTAGCTATTTTGGAGGCTGGCTACCACACACATAGACACAGTTAGTTTTCCAGTAACCCAAT